CGTTAGAAGACTCTTCTTAAAGAGTTAAAGAACAGGGTTCCCCCGGTCAATGCCCTTACGCATTGTTAACGCGGGGGCGGTTGGAGTTTAGGAACTAGAGGAAAGCATCCACTTGGGCGTCTGTGTTCCAATACCGACGCCGTTTAAAAGGTAGTTGAGCATAATCAGCTTGTAAGATTGCTCTGGGTCGCTTTTTAGAAGAGGCAACCGCAGGATCATATAACGGCAGGGTATGTAATACTGGATTTCCAACAAGATGGATGTTTTTGAACAATCTTTCCGAAAGTCGCTGTATAAAGCGATTAATGGGCATAATTTTGAGGTCGTTATGAATGTCACCGTTCCTTATGAACCATGGAGCGTTTAATATCTGCCGTAAAAATTTTGATTGAAAAATTTGGACGTGTTTACGGTTAGTCAGAGGAGCTGAGCCCCAGATGGGACTCGCGTAAGTGAGAATAGGCCTTATGATAGATTTATAAAGCAAGATCTTGTTATCAAGTGACAGGTCGCTATTTTTAGCGAAAAAGGGGCGCAGGTTGGCTTTGACAGCTTCCGCATTCGCAATAATTTTTTGAATGTGAAGTTGCCAAGTTAATTTTGAGTCTAGTAAAACACCAAGGTATTTGTAAGTAGTAACCCAGGGAATAGGTTCACCGAAGAAAATTAGATTATCTAAACGAGGGATGTTTCTTCGGATGAATAAAGTGGCATCAAATTTAGCGACATTAATTTTGATTTTATACAGTCCGAGCCAGAGTTCTAAGGCTGAAAGGTAACTCTGTAATGTAGAGATTACCGTGGTGATGTTGTTATGTTGAGTTAGGATGGCCGTATCGTCTGCATATAAAGCTAAATCGATACTAGGTGCCTTAGGCACGGCGTTGATATAGATATTGAAGAGCAGAGGTGAGACAAGACTGCCCTGAGGACATCCAGCATGGATCGGGCGGGGAGTGGAGAGTTCGTGGTTAACTCGTACGCGGAAGCTTCGTCCGGCTAAGTACGAGCTAATAATTTTAATGATGTGAGCCGGAAACCCAAGTCGCATGAGCTTGTAAATAAGTCCGTCATGCCAAACCCTGTCAAAGGCTTTAGCTATGTCAAGATAGACAATTCCAGTATTCTCTCGCTTACGAAAGCCTTCATGAATGAATTCCACTACACGTAGTAACTGGTGTACCGTGGAGTGTTTAGGTCGGAAGCCGAATTGTTCCGGGATGATTAAGTTTTGATCTCGACAGAATTCATTCAGGCGATTAAGTAAGACATATTCATATACTTTTGAGAGTGAGGAAAGCAGACTAATTGGTCTGTAGTTGACGGGTAAGTTTAGATTTTGCCCCGGTTTTGGAATGGGGACGACCGTTGCAATTTTCCAGCGGTCGGGGAAGTAGCTTCTCCTTAGCATAAAATTAATAAGGACCGTAATCCAAACAATAAACATTACAGGGAAATTTTTAATCATGCGATTAGAGATAGAATCCATGCCTGGAGCCTTGTTGGGTTTCAGTCTATTGATGTATTCCATCACCTCTTTAGGATCAGTGGGCCTAAGTTCAGGCGTGAAAGGTTGTGTTAAAAACTCTTCAACACGTGAATGTATGCGCCCTTGAGTAACCGGGCGGTTACAGTAGGCGTCGTTATTAGGAGTGAATTGAGTAGCAAGGCTGTCGGCTAAGACTTCTGCCTTTTCAGTGTCTGTGTAAGCCATCCGTGCGTCATCGGCCGTTTGGAGCGGCGGAATGTGTCTGGATTGTTTGCGTATTCGAGCGGCAGCCCGCCAAATCGAATTGTCTTCAGTCGTTAGGGACTCAATGTAGTGTTTCCACTCCGTCTGTTTGAAGAGACGGGTTTCAGTCCTTATCTCGTTCTGTATTTTGCGAAATTGGGCGCGGATACTGGGATCACGCGACCTTTGCCAAAGTTTTCGCAAAAAGTTCCGCTGCTTAATTTTGGATTTAGTCTCAGGTGGGAGTCTGACACCCGGATAGAAAATTGGTTTTGAAGCCGCAGCTCTCGCTTCTTTGAGAATGGACTCCAAATTTAGTAAACACCTGTCAAAATCCGAATTGCTGGTAATTTTGATAGGGGGTAGCAGTACGTTCCAAAATAAATCTAAAATCGTCCCAATTTGTAGAGACTTGCTCCTGTAATTTTGAGTAAGTAACGATTTTGGATATCTAGGGTGATCAAAACTGGATAGTGATCAGAGTCAAGGTCTTGAATCACTTTTATTTCGTGTCTAAAATTGACATTATAAAAGGCAGCCAGATCAAGAACTGCAGGGGACCCTCTAACAGGGTAGTAAGTCGGGAGGGTAGGAGCTATGATCTGTATATGGTTTCTCTGGCACCATGAATTTAGACTAATGCCATACCTGTTCCTGTTAGGGCAAAACCATGCGGTATGACGTGAATTTAGGTCACCAGCAATAATTAGGTGATTTGATAATGATAAAAGTTTATCAAAATCACTGACAGGAAAAGTACCTCTTCCACGTGCAGTTGATAGTGGAGGCAGGTACGCCGAGATGACTGTTAGTGGGGGAGAATTTTGGAGGAAAATTTTGATAATTGTCGCTTCCAAAATACTTAAATCAGGAGGGGGTATCATGTGATGCTTAATCGAACGCTTCACGTAGATACAGGTGCCACCACCACTTGCACGCCTGGCTAATGACACCCTGTCAGTCGAGTACATGTCATGTCAAATTCCCAATTTTGGGAGTTCTCCCTGGGGTAAGATGAGTCTCTTGGACTAATAACACGTCAAGATCGTGCACTACAATAAAATCTTTGACCTCATCGATCTTATTGATGAGGCCGTTTGCATTCCATGTGCACATGGTAAGTTCTCTGTTGGTAATTGAACTTTGTCTTAAACAGTTGAATTTAAGGCCGTGGTAAAAGGTTACAGCTCTGAAAAACTTAAGACACGGGTCTAAAATAGCCGAGAAATCCTAATTTGAAAGCATAATATAGCTTTCATAAATTAGGAAGGCCCTCGTAAGAGCGTCTGCCTGCCTAAGCTTTGGCAGGGCCCTTTGGAAGGCTTGTAGTAGAATATGCCTATCTACCGCAGGATCGCGGGAGATTTCAATTAGGCATTTTAAAGTAGAGGAGAAAAAACATCCTCGGAGTCTCCACTTTCTACTTGAGTAACCGGGGGAGCTATTTGAGGCACATTCGCCATAGCCGCCGGATTTGGACCCTGATTTTTGGGTCGGGGCTCTGTAGGTCCTTTACCTAGGGTCGCTGCATAAGACAGCGAGCTTGTGCTTTTAGGTGCAGTCACAGTGGCTGGTTGTACAGCTTTTGCTGGGGTGTTTGTAGTTCCCTGAGGGGGGGGGCTGCAGGAGCAGCTGCCCTAGGAGCATTCTTTTTTGAGCTCTTTTTGTTATTACCTGGGTAACGAGGACAAGATTTAAAGGACGCTGGGTGACTACCTCCACAGTTGCAGCAGCAAGCAGGTTGATCGTCACTTAATGTGCAATCTTTTGCCCAGTGCGGGCCAGCGCATCTCACACAACGGATGTTAAGGGTGCAAGTTTCAGAGGAATGAAAAAATCCTTGGCACCTAAAGCATTGAGTAGGGCCTTTACGGCCTCTGTAAGCCTCAAATTTGACCTCAGCGCCCCACATATCGGTGACACTGTACAGTTGGTCTATGAAGGGATGAGGTCGGACTTGTATGTAAACAAGTGGCATAGGGTGTCTAGTGCGCGGTTTAGTCAACCGGGCGCACCTATGCACTTGGAAACCCCATGATTCCACTTCATTTTTGACGTCCTCGATTTCAGTTTCTTTAGGGAGGCCTCTGATAACAATTTTGATAGGCCTGTCCTGCTTTAGATCAAAAGTCTTGAATTGGATGCCGGCCTGCCGCATCCATCGTGTAACCTCCCTAAATTCTAGTTCTGTTTGAACAAATAATTTTAAAAAAGGTCCAGTGAGAATGCACTTGATATTAGGGGCAATTTCTCGCAGGAAAGTCATCTGCGTTCTCCACTGTTTGCTGCTCTTAAAGTGAATAGCCGGAATGGAGGGTTGCTGTGGAGGGAGGGGGGAGCGCTCTGTGACTGCGCCGTACTAGTTTCTCCTCCTGGTGCTTCAGGAGTTTCCTTTCCGAAGGACAGGCTGTAATGTGGTAGTTGTCAGTGTTTTTACTGTTTTATGAATTTTCAATACCTATTGGTAATCAAAATTGTTATATATGTAAATTAAAATAATGCAAAAATCATGTTAGATATGATGCAGAAGTAAATCCTAAATTCTATATGCAAAAACCACTGTTCTATCTTTACAATTAAATAGAGGATTTCAACTGATTATCAGTTTTATATAATAATGACTTTTTCATATGTTACCAAATAGTGTACTTTTTACTTACGTTTACTGCATACATTTACAGGTGAACGTATCTTCCAATAAAGAATATATTTGCGAACAGCTCACCTTTAGTCCGTATGTTATACTGATTAGAAGATTTGTGTCCACCAATGTAGAGTTTAAAGGAAATAAACACTAATAGTTCGATCAAGTTCAAGTTCCGGTTATTTAAACAAGCAAAGTTCCTGGTTAAAATGAGCCTGTTTTCCTCTGAAATCACTCCTCAAAGATATCATTCGCATTAGGCCAATAACCTTCTATTATTTTGCTGTAATAAACTCGCAAAATAAAGAACATCTGCATCTATTTTTGTTTCATTTTAAAACCCTGATTTAAACGAGAGGTATTTTTGGAGCGTTAAATGTTGATGCAACATTTCGATTAATCTGCCGACTTCATTTTCACTTAATTTAGAAGACTGAGAACTTCTAGTTGTAAATTTTACCAAGAATATTTACTGGAAATTTCATTTCAGAATAATTTTTTTTTAATTACAACTTATGAAAAATAATTTAGTGCTTTCATACGCATGTTAATTTATCTTTTATATTTGCAGTTTGCATTTTAACTTTCTTATGTGCTGAATAATTTAGGTTGGAATTTTATTAGGTTTTTCCAATTAACATAGTATCGATTGATGACAGTATTCCTTTCCTCCTAAAAAATGAAGGCCTTAGAACATTGAGACTGGAAAATGGAAAAGTAAGTTTTTTGTTTGTTTGTTTGTTTGTTTTTTTGTCTCATTTAGATTTTTAAGTGTCCAAAATTAATTTAGTAATCTGTTTCATCCTTAAAAACAAAGCATTTCGACAGATTTCATTCCTCTATTCTTCACAAATATGCAGTTCTTCCTTTTGATCTGTTAAGTGCCTTGCTGATTATAAGAAAACGTATATTCATCGCTTTTATTTTGGAATGAATGATGTCATATAACACATACACTTTAAGCCTCACTTTAGTAACTCAGAATGTGCTAAAAAATTATAATTTCTAATTTTGTAAGGAAGAGTAATAAACTAAAATAAAAGATACGAAGTTTTATTTCATCTTCTAGTATGAATAGACGTCAAGAAACTCGTGTGCAATAATTATCACATCATCAACTGCACATCACCGAACAAACGTCAATTACAAAAGGCATTTGTTCAACATAAGCGAGGTTATGTACGAATTTCTATCAGGTTTAATAATTTTTCTAGTATATATGATGAAAGCCGTGCTTGTTAAAAAAATTTCATTGATACATGCTTTTCTCTTCGCTCATGTCCTCAGATTTATAACTCCTCAGACCCTCAGTTTTTAAAAAAATCTTATGTCAAAATTTGCAGTATTTAAGTCATTCCGCCTGTTAAATGAGGAGTGTATTCACGTTAGCTTTACGATCATACTCGCTGTGAAATATCATTTCAGAATAGTGATTAGATAGTCAGCATGACGCCAGAATCACTGAAGTTACTTTACATCTAATACGGCGAATGCCTTTTTTTACCGCCCAAGTTGCTGATGCTCTCCATTTGGCAGATCTCGATTTCAGGTACTAGAAAGCCATATGTCCTGGAATATGTGTTTGCTATTCGAAACCTGAGTATACAAGTGTATTAATACCTCAGCTTGTACAAACTATGAATCATAGTATAATCATCATCTATGGCAGAAGTACCCTCAGATAACGCAGAAATTTTTTATAACCATACTTATGTCAAAGCAAGGCATTCTGTAATTGTTCTCATCCTGTAATTCGTAATTAGTGAGCTCCAGTGCATATCCTGTTGTCGGCTCATAATAGTTAAAGAGCATCATACACTTTTGTAAGTGACCAGTCTATACTTTATTTTGTTACCATTGTTAGGCAATTTCGTTGTCTATTATATGGAGCTGTAATCACTTCCACATTCTTTAAAAGATGTATCTGCTTTATAAGAGTTATGAGTAACATTTATTTGAGACCATTCAATCCTTCAATCCGAAATAAAAGAATTTTGTTCTACCCTTTCTAACAAATTCTAAGACACTGTGAGGTGGAATGTATGAGAAAGGTGTTTAATATTTAGAATATTTTACATCAATCACAAATTATGCCGTTGGCAACATACCATGGATATTTTCATATGAATTTCATATGAATGCAGCCAGGTTTTTTTTCTACCATTATTTCTTATATTCCATTTTATATTAAAACATTTTTTTTAACTTAACAGTTGTAAAATATTAATAAATAACATTAGCCTTACTGAATGTCAAATGGTTTTACACTCTAAGGTATTTCACAGCATTACGTGCAAGATAACTCTGCACATAATTGTATTTATCCTCCGTACACTTACTGTCAATGAGATAAGGATATCATTGTTTGACTGTATTTAAAAGATTAATGGGGCTTTTAATTTGCATAAGTAATCTCATATGAATATAATAGTTTTTCAGTATTTACTTTGTAAATAATTTTTTATGTCTATATATTTTAGTGGAGAAATTCAATATCTCAAGATCATCTTTTCACTGAAGACCTTGATACCAAAGAAAAGGACCTCATTTATTCTGTTACAGTACGACCGAATTTAGGATACCTACAACTGACAAGCAGTCCTAACGAAAAAGTATCTCATTTCTCTCAAAGTAAGAGTTAAATGAATTCTTTGTATTATAGATAGAATAAATATTGAACTCTTTCTAGTATATGCTAAATGCTTCACTGTTTGAAAAAATAAATAAATAACACGGTATTAAATATATTCATTCGAAAAGATAATTCATTCACTTTTTATGAAATGCTCTAAAACTCATAAAAAGAGAGAATTACTAAGAAAATGTGATTAATTAGGAATACCATAAGCTTAAAGGTAGTAACAAAAAGTAAGAATAAAAGAAAATATTTATGCAGACAGTATTCAGTTTACTCTGTAACTATTTTAGTAAAGAAAAATAACTACAGGTCGAGGAAGTTCATAGTACTTGTTTGTCATTTTTTAAAGAAATTGCACAAATTCACTTAGGGATGCAGTTGATATTCAATGATCAGTGATAAATGATAAAGATTAAGCATGATGGTCTTAGTACTTTTCTGATGTTTTCATGTCGAGTGTAAAATTTCTGCAGTTCATTTGTACGATTATACTATAATCTACAACAAAAATAAGAACTAATGATGAAATTTTATAATAATAACTTGCAATTCTGTCTATATATTTAATTCTAAATTTTATTCAAACAGTAAGGTGCTGTATTATTTTTCCATATATAGCATAATAAGCTTCCCCTCATTCATACTTTGTAAATGGAAACAAATGAGAATTCATAATTGGATTCACGACAAAGGAAAAGTAGAATATTCCTCTCTCTGGGGTTGTTTGTGGGCTTTTATGTATTCTATGATTAGTTCTTGCAGCCATCGATGTTGAACTTAGATTTTAATCTACTACTAACGACTGATGATATTTAAAATATGTTTAAATCTTACATAATGTTTTTTTGTTGACAGCCAGTTTCAAGCCCACCAGCGGTTCTCAGACGTTCATTACCCTCTAACAGGTATCTCATTATTTCGGAATATGAAATGATTAACGACAGTGAGAATCAGAACTATTATAAAATCAACATATTCCCCTTTTTTGTTTCTCCCATTTATTAAACATCTCCCCAAAAGTTGCGTGAAATCATACCATTCTCTTTTTTTCTTAATTATCCCGGTGCTGATAAAATTTACATACATGTACAGGACGTGATAAAATTTACATACATGTACAGGAGTAATCATATATATTCGTGATCATTTGTGCGAAGGTTTTAGCTGACGTGAATATTTTAATACTAGCCTACTGAATTCAGTAGATTCTAGATAATTTTCAAATTAAGATGGAAAAGTAACCGCAATTTTTTCTTCCTTGTACTATAAGGTATTTCTTTCTCCTTCTCAGTTGGTGCCTTCGTGGTGTAGTGGCTTCGTACAAATTTTAAAAATAAATCATAAAAAATGGGCGAATTTTATTTGGAATGAACCTAAATTTCGAAAATTGTGAAAGGAAAGGATTCAAGTAAGTTTAATAAAAAAAGAGATATTAATAATTATATATCCATAATTTAGTTAACACTGAAAAGCTAAAATTTTGAGAGCCAATTTTGAAAAAACTAATCGTACGATTTTTACAAAACTTGGCAGTTTGACATTATATGATTCATAGAATCGAATTATAGGGATAAAAATTGGCATGTCATTTCAGAAAACGTTCCGATTTCGAAAGTTCAATACCTAAATATCTATATTTGAACAATGCTGTATGTATGAATCTAATACATATCCTAAGTCGCGCTTTCGAGACATGAAAGACGCAATTTGAATTTCGTGCATCGGCCTAGTAAAACGGGAGCTATAGAACTGACTTTTTTTTTTCTTTTCCACAGTGTACATACGTATGTATGTATGTGTTTCGTATAACCCAAAAACGATTAGCATGTAGAACGCTGAAATGTGGGAAAATATGGGACTGCTCTAACATCTGGATGTGAGTCTCCCCTTTTTGTTGCGATCGGACAATCGGCGGCACCAAACTGGTGTATACCCACCCTTTTACCGGTTAATAAGCTTTGTTTTTTATTCTTGTATGCTGGTAAATTGTGAATTTTTTGCTTTAAAAAATGACTGAATTATGTTGTTCTTATCTTCGGGTTAAGGTTTTTATACTTTAGTTAATCTACATGCAATAATTTTAGAATTATCAACAATTTAAATGTTTGAGTGGCGGCTAGGCCTAACATGATGGCTATTTGTTTGTTACCTAAATTCCTCTTAGTAGTATAGTGAATCAGTGGGTGCACCGACTTCAGTGTCTTTTTGCCAAGTGAGACCAAAAGTTAACTTTAAATTTTTGGGCTCTGAAGATTGTGTCCTTCTGCCTGTTCGTCGAAATGTTTGTTTTATATATAAACTCGAATTTTATTTGCAAAAATAATTTTTAACGATTAGGTTTTTCTGTATTTTACAAATTTTAAGGAAGATGTTTTGAGATTTTATGTATTTTTGCATTGCCGCGGAATGAGAACTAAATTGATTGATCAAGAAATGTATCTGTAATGAAATTCGACATAAGTTTAAATGGAGTGCGGTAAAAAATGTGCATAATTTACAAAGAACTCACGTAATGTCCACATCAGATTTTTTTTTTTTTTTTTTTTTTTTTTTTAAGTTCTTAATTCAGAAAAGAAAGTTCATTCAATAAAGATGAAAACTACAAATTTTTTTTAAAGTTTTTTATCAAAGATTTTTTTCTTTCTGTGTATAAAAGAGCTTGAGATTTACATGTTAAGTTTAATATTCAGAGAAACTATTAACAGCCTTATTTATATTTTTAGAGGATATCAATGATGGGAAACTCCAGTATGTTTTGGATGATGATGACATTTTGCAGACAGAAGATAAATTTATGTTTTCTGTGGAAGATACAAAACCAAATAAATTGATGAATAACATCTTTCGCATTCAGTGGACTCGCGTAAACTTTGAGTTACCTTTTTATAACACTTCAGAAATGGATGGCCATTTAGAAGTCTCAGTTATACGAACTGGGAATACCGAACTGGTAATGTTTTTTATTCTTTTTTGTTTACTTTCTAATACTAATTTTAAATTACTTTAGCTCTCAATATATTCTAATGCTTAAACTTTTATGTCACGTTTCAGGATTTTACAGCTACATGTCAAATCTCTCAAGACAATTTGTCTGCTACTAACAAGAGTGGTTTTGTTCCCGTTGTGAATGAGGTAAATTTATTATACTTATAAAATTCTCCAATAATTAGTTGCCTTTGAAATATGCTAACTAAAGCTTCAACATCTGCAGAAGGCTGTTAAATTTAATCAGCTTGCAAATATCCTCTTAATCATCAGTTTATAGTATCACAAAAACCATGGGCTAAGGCCACCTCTCCGATGTCGAGACATAAACATAGAATATTCAAATAGTGTTAATAATTTTGTGTATATCTAAAGAATTTTAGTGAAAGTATATATGAAATTATAGCACCTTTTGTATAACATGAAATTCTTTAAAAATCGAAGCTCTGCCAGGAAAATAAGGTTACTCGAAATTTTTTTAAATGTGTTGTATTTAAGTTTCCAGTAATTGTGCAGACTTCAAGCAAATCAGTGATTAAAAGTTATAGCGATTATAAGCATTATAATCAGTGATCGCTTGTTTTTATATAGGCACTGTATTAAAAAAAGAAATGGTTTAAAAGTAATTTTAAGATATTACTTTTGTACTGAGTTTAATTTACTATATTAGCAGCTACCAAAATTCATGGCACATCGTCTAGCAAATTGAGATAGTGGGAACTACTAGTAAGCTAATGCAATCAAGTATGAATTTAAAATTAAGCAAAACTACAACCTTGTGTTTGGTGCAGATTTTAACTGAATCTTCATCGATTTTGAGATCAATAAGATTATGGATTTCGAATCCCTCTTCGGCAGGAGCAAAAATATTCTGTTAAGAAGGGAGGAGCCACGACCCTACTTATTTCGATATAAATACTGGCGGGGATTCTCCCTTCTTTGCAGGATACTTTTTTTCTACTGAAGAACAGGAACTTGTTCTCTCTAATTCAATAGAGTTTCAATTAAAATCTCTACCTATCAAAAAGTTGCTGCTTTGCCTAATTTTATATTTTAGTTTGGCTTGTTTCTTTTCTTTCTTTAATGCGAATGAGTTACTTAAAACTATTTTTCATTTGCACTGATGGCCTTCAGAGCTGAAAAATGGTTGGATGATTTAAACTATAAGAAAGTTCATTTTTATGAATAAAATAAGTTTTAAAATTCTTATATGCGTAAATATATATTTAAATATGGCAAAAATATAAAAGTAACTATTTTTTATTTTTTTTATTTTAGGTGCATTTTAAAGAAAATGATAATTTAGAGTACTGCATTTTCAAAATAGTAGATAATAGCGATTTTGAAGGAAAAAAGAATTACCAAATTTTCTTACATTCTGCAACTGTTTTACTTGGCATCCCTCATACAGCAAATGTTGAAATACATGATGAAGAAGATGGTAAGTATACGAATTAAAAATCTGCTAGAGATAATGTACATAATATTACAAATCTCAATTACGTGAAAATTATAATATAAAAAATAACTTTAAGTATATAATATATGTTTAAAATAAACAAAGCTCAATTAGGCACGGAAGTTGGTTTTTGCAAAAAAAACCTCAAAACTTTTGTAATAAATATTACAAATCTCAATTACGTGAAAATTATAATATAAAAAATAATTATAAATATGTAATATATGTTTAAAAATATACAAAAGCTCAATTTCGTACGGAAGTTGGTTTTGCAAAAAAACCTCAAAACTGTTGTAAATAAAGTTAAAAATCTAACATTAATCCGAATTTGAAATTTTTCTAATTATAGATTTCAGACTGACGTGTTGTCTTCTACGGATATATACATTTAGCTCTTTGCGTGTAATTTAATTCGTTTTTCATTACATTTCCATTAATAAAAGCTGGTGAGAATAATTTAATGTTATGAAACGGTGAATTAGGTTATTATTTCCTTTTAACTTTATGGTTTTTATAAATGCTAATTGTTTCAAAGTTTTTTAATATTTTTTTAACTTTAATGTTAATTTCTTCGAAGTGTAATACTGTAATATTAAATTGAAAAAAAAAAACTGCCATCCAAAGATTTTATTATTTATCTCACAAATTTCTTATTGTTTTCAGGGAGGTATTTTGTTTAATCCGTGTAGTTAATACTTACTGCTAATCTTGGATTAGTTCAACAATTTTCTCTTCCACGTTGTCGCAATTGAAAGAAAGATACGCATGTTTCTCATTTTAAATTTAAAAATAGAGATAATTTCATCTTAAGGAAAGAAAATTGTACAGAAAATTTCTTTATGGATTCTTGCTAGATATTAAAAGCATCAATCTAGGGAATATGCAAATAATAAAACAGAGCTTAAGTGGAGTCTGTTGCTCTGTAGAATACATCATTGTTTCCCAAACATTTTAACTTCGTGACTCACTAGCGTATCATTGCTTTGAACAAAAGAAAAGGAGATATCCTAGAAGAAAATAATGTAATAATGAATAATTAAATAAATAAGATTTCAAATTAAAGAAATCATTAAAAATCAAGAGAGAAATGTAAATTAATTCGTATTTGCATGTAAATATGTTGTTACATATAGCTTTATGGAAAAATCAATCCAAACATTGCCCACCAGCGGCCGAGCGGTAAAGTTGTTGAACACTGGTAGTTCGGTGCGAAGCTTGAATCTCGCGAACGGGCTGGCTGCATGGGCGTTTTCGTGGTTTTCCCCATGTGTAACGTGCATACGAGCTAGTTTCCCTTAGAAAGTCCTCCACGAAGGCATCCCTCCCCTTAGGCAGATAGCTCTCGTGTGCTTTGCCATAATTAAATACACTACCACACCAATCCAAATATATAAAACAACTCAAGTATCACACATGAACAATGATATATAATAAAAAAGAACGAACATTTAAAGTAAGAATCGGAATAAATGAACATGGGAACAAAAGTTAAAATAAAAAACTTAAATAACAAGGAAAGGAACATAAGACATGTAGTCTTTACAAGGAGTTCATGAAAGCTCTGGCATTTCAGTATACATGTGAATGTATAATTATATCCAGTATACATGGGAATGCATAGTTATAATAGTAATATCCAGTATACATGTGAATATATAATACATAATTATACAATAAGAAAAAGAATACTTCAAAACATTTTACGATGAAACAAAATTGTCTTTCGGCCATAAATGAGTCGGGGCCTATACTTTGGGCTCAAACAATTTATTCCAGAAAGGAGGACTATTTATTTGAGGACTTACACCTCAAATACTAATTTATTCCAGTAACTGGAATAAATTATTTGAGGTGTAAACGTAGCTTGAGCGTGCATTGGTAAATTAAAAATTGTATGCCACACTTTATACTGTAATATTCAATTTAGAACTGGTATCGGATCCTAAGTGTCTTGAAGTCAGTCTGTAATTGAGGAAATCTGATAATTGATTATTAATTAATGCATATTTTATCAATATATTTCCCTTTTTTCATGTTTTTCAGAACCTATTATCAGTTTCAAACAAGACGTCTTCTTTGTAAATGAGACTGACAGTTATGTCCATTTCCCAGTTATCAGAAAGGGTATGTTTTTAAATCATGATTTTTCTTATATGTTCAGCAAGTAAAATCACAATGGAATACTACAATAAAGTACCTTTTATATTTCCATCAGGTGATTTAAAACCTGATTTAAGTGTTATGTGCAGCACGTTTGATCATACAGCTCAAGGAAGCAGCCCTTTTGGACTGGAAACTGGTTCAGATTATAGAAGTCGAAGTTCTTCGCATAATTCTTTCGTCACATTTTATGCCGGCCTGACAGAAATAAACTGCAGTGTTAAAGTAAGCGTACATTAATTAGTACCTATTTTGAAACAAAAGAATTCTAGCAATATAAGATTATGAAGCTTCAGAAAGGTATCAAATTTTAAAACAAAGGGAAAAAATAGGCGTAATTTATCATTTTGACTTTCCCCAAAATACGCATAACACAAAGCCAAATTAAATGCCTTAAAAACGACTCTGATTTATACGTAATGAAAAAAAGAGAAAGTAATTCTAATTATTAAGAGAAGATTTTTGAGCATTACAAATGTGCCAAGTACTTTTATTACTAAGCTTCTTAGTACAGAAATTAAAATTTTTGAACTGAACATCTTCCTGGTTTGCAAATATATGTAGATAATAAGTATATATAATAAGTCGCGCTTTCGAGACATGTAAAACGCAAATTGAATTTTGTCAATCGTCCCAGCAGAATGGAAGATATAGAACTGTCCCTCCCTTTTTTTCGCAGTGTACATGCTATATGTTTTAATTTTAACTTACACTTATACCTAACCTTGAATTATGTTACTTTAAAATTATAATTAAAAAGACAAGAAAATAAAAGTATGTACTATTAAAAAAATAGAACTTTTTTTAAACTTTAATGTTAAATTCTTCGAAGTGTAATACTGTAAAAGGAATTTGGAAAAAAATATGCCATCCAAAGTTTTTATTATTTACCTCACAAATTTCTTATTGTTTCCAGTGAAGTATTTTTTTAATCCGTGTAGTTAATACTTACTGCTAATCTTGCATTAGTTCAAAAATTTTCTCTTACACCTTGTCGCAATTGAAAGAAAGATACGCATGTCTCTCATTTTAAATTTAAAACTAGAGCTAATTCATTTTAAGGAAAGCAAGATGTGCAGAATATTTCTTTATGGATTCTTGCTAGATATTAAAAGCATCAATCTAGGGAACATTTTTGCTTTTTTTTACTTTAATGTGAATAATTATAAATTTTTTCTAAATTTAAAAAATTAAAGCTCTAATCAAAAATTATTTTTCTTAAGTCCATTTGGACGTCTAGCTTATTGCAACAATAGCAGATCTACATTTAAAATCCTCACATCACATTTTTAAATATTCTAATAAAAAGTCTTGCTGTAATTCAAAAGTATGTAATTACTTTGTATTGGCATATTAATTTACTTTATTAAATTTTTATCTTTTTAGATAATTGATGATAACTTATATGAAGAGGCAGAAGAATTTGAAATAATCCTTTCTGATTGTCATCCGCTTGGAAAAATCCATGGATATTCTAAAGCACGTGTAATTATAAATGGACCTAATGATAGTACGTTGCAAAGGCATTTGAGGCCTCTATTTTAACAAAATTTATAGTCATAATTGTATCATTTTATCACGTAGCGTTACAAAATATGACTGATTTGTCTTCATGTTGGAATGTTTTTCATATATAATATAGAAAGTTATTTTTTTTCTTTTGTATTAATATAAATTCATTGCAGACTAATTGGATGTTATTGAATTTTAGATTACTCCGTATCAGTATTTCTCAAGACTATGAATAGACGCCGACTGGAGTTCCTTCTGACTGTAATTCGTTTTTGCCTCTGGAACTGGCCTCAAAATCATCTCTGTTTAACCAAAATAATTTGAGACCCGTTTTTACTTAAAGCATATGAAATTTACTCTACCGGTTTTTACTGGTTTCTCTTACTTAAATACATATTTCGATTTTTAATTCATTTTTATTAATGATGATTTTTAATCATTAGAGTACAAAAATCGGAATTTTGCTTTATGTAGTATTTCACAGTTGCTATGTAATTTTAATAACACATATTTTTTTAATTTAAGTACCAAACAATATTGATCATAACCAAGATAATTAGGTAATTATGCTACAAAAAATGTAATAATAAGCTGGTATTTTTATTTTAAGAATAAAAACCTAAATTAACGAAAACCTTGCTTTTGTAGGAAACAAAATATTATTTGTATTTTCTTTCTGTAAATTATTCCTTTAACAATAAAATATGCATATTTAAAAAAGTCTAATACATAATTTAAACAGTATGTGAACTGGTTTTTGTATATTGTTATATGGTATTGTTATAACAGAATGTTGAAAAAATACTGTAATACGCGTGAAGAGTAATCGGTGCCAGTTTAAGTATTTTTATCTGGTTATAACGAAACTTTTCCACCAAAAAATGTTCTTAATAAAGTTAGAAAAAAGTGTGAAAGCAGTGCCTTTAGTGCGAATATTAATAACTACACAAATAGACGATTTTCTGCCATTGTTTTGCTAGTTTTTCAAAGCCTTCGGTCCAGAAACTTGGTGGCCGCAAGTCCAAAAAATAAATCTACATCATTTTAAACGTCTTGTGCGGAATGGAAGGTAGCACTAGCAAGATTGTGCATGTACGAAAAAGGGCAGAAGTCCGAAGAGTCGGAGCTATATGGTGGGTGTGGTAAAAGATCCCATTCGAGTCCGTACAGAGTCCAGCCTGGTGAATGCACATGTAGTCTTGCATTATTTTTATGGAACATCGCCTATTTCGAGCCGGAACTGAGTTCAACGTTTTTCCTTGATAGCAACGTCAACACGGATTAGCATCTCGTTGCACACCTTATTGTCGAGGGTTTTATTTTTTCCAGATACTTTCTTGGATAAAGGACTAAAGGCACTTTGTGGATGATACCACGGCAATCCCACCAGATACAAAGCATGATCTTTATGTTAGTCAAACTGCGCTTTGCGACGATGCCGACGGGCTCACCGAGCATAGACGAACCCCCTTTTTGACCTGTGTTGTTTAAGTAAAACCACGTTTCATCACAAGTGACGATACGGCCCAGAATTTTGTTTCTGCGTTGAAATTCGAGCAGATTAGTAAAGGCCCGAACGGCATCTGTCTTTATCTGATTGAGTAAGCTCATGCAGCAACCAGCGATTGAAATTGTACATCAAGTTTATGTGACTAATGGATATGGCACTAATGTGTAACTCCTTAACAACCCCTCAAGTGACTGCACACCAATCTTCTTCAACAAGTTCTCGTAAGCCGGGACAGAGCGCTCTGCTTCTTGAATGTCATAGTCCTTGTTTTTGAACTTCCGATGCCAAACTTTCACAGTGTCATATGATACAACATTAGTATCTAAAGCTGTACGTTTGATTTGGTGACATTCTGTAGCAGACCTTTTGCAACAGAACTGGAAATAAATTATGGTTCTAATCTGGTAGCGTGATAGTTCTATTTCATACACCTTGTTTTTAATAATAATGATACATATTTCACAACACAGTGTTCTAAGGCAAGTTTCTTTCTTTCAAATGCCAAAAATCATTTGACAAAATATGATTAAACACGCCAACGCAAACTGTTTGCGCAGACGATATTTGCGGTGGCGGGAAACTAACGTTACAACCCGACATAAATTCTTCTGTTTATTATATCCCCCTGTGTGAAATAAGCCCTTCGTTTTCCTTATATATCTAAATCAAGCTAAGAGACAAATCATTATTAATCTCCTTCAGTGTAACACTAAATCTAGTAAAATAAATCACCATTTTTCTTCTAATGCAAAACAACACAGACTATACGTCATGCATTAAAACAACAGAAATACAAATATATTTCAAAATAACGAATGTTAATAAAATAAAATTATGAATTGTGGAGCTTTTAGGCGTACTTAAAGCTCTTTTTCATCACCATAAAATTTACTATAATATAATTATAGTTATCTTTTATTATAAAACATTTTAATCACCATAAGTTTACTATATTATTATTATTTTTTATGCTTTTAAAAATATATTTTGTCTTTCTAGTACCTGAAGTTTTCATCAAAAGACAAGATTATGAAATTACACATGAACAAAATAATATTTCTATCTCACTCAAACGGGTGGGTGTGGATCTATCAAAAATTTGCACTGTATGGTGTGGAACTCGATCGTCTTTAGATAACTCTGGAAGAAATATGAATTCTTTGCAACAAATCAAATTTGATAACTTCCAGTCTTCTCTTGTAAGTTGTAGACATCTTAATTTTAGAATTGTTAGGATAACATGCATTTGATTTGAAAAATACAGAAAAGTACAGTATAAAAGTTTTTTAATATTAAATCTTTGATTTAAGAGATACCATTTAAATATATTACAGGAATGCCAGCTGTCTAAACATCAAGTACTTTGGTCTACAGAACCATCTGAAAGCATTATTGTTTTTCTTGATTCTCCTGAGGGCTGTATTTTAGGCGAACCGAGTTTTTTAACAATTCCTGTGAAGTATGAAAAGAAAGGTACGCATATGAAATATTTTAATAATATAAATACACTTACTTCCGTAAATTAAAGGAATACTATTTGGTATGGTATGCCTCCTCACGCTGTAAGAAACATAGTTTAAGAAGATTAAAATAACAGATAATTTCAAAGTAAAGCAAAAATAGAAATGTAAATTCTACCAGCCCTTTAAAAATGGACATGATAGTACATGATACATCACAAATACATCCATTAGTGGTAGTGTAAATGCATAATACTCTAAAAAAGTTCTAAAAATCTTCTAAAAAGTCATGCCAAGTGCGTGGAACACGCAGTAGTTGAATTTAGCTATTAAATATTACTGTGCAATCATTCGGGACAGCTTATTTAGTGTTGTAATGCAAACTGAATTGAAACATCTTAACATCATTTAGCGCAATATTGCATTTTATGTAAATAACATTAGAGCAAAGAAGTTCGGGTTTGTGTCATTAGGAACAGATTCCTCTCGTGTCATAACAAACTTATTTGACAGATTTCCCCCTAATTAAAAGTGAACAATGGGGTTTGACCCCATTGTCTACGGGGTCAACGTTTTCAAATTATTTAAGCAACTGAAAACGATGCGATGGCCAGTCTATCACATATATTAAAAGAAGCATTTTTTATCAATGCTTTCAGGAATGTCAGGACCGATGCAGCAAGTATGTTTGCTACAATGAATATTACATTGATTGTGAATAAGTAATGCGTTTCAAACTCCCTACAAGTATTTTCCTAAAACGTTGTGAATTTAATACTTAAAATATGGTGCTACCTCGAAATACCTTTACATGTTACACAGGCATTAAATATATTGATAATGATTCAATTTTAAGACAAATTTTAGTTTTAAGTGTAACATTTTCAGAAGTCTTAAATAATCTGTTCTTCAGCAATGAACCTGTTCTTGAACATGAACTTATATTCTTGAACATTGATTCCTATTCTTAACTCCTGACTCTCATTCTATATTAATTATCACTGAGAGCTGTTAGTCGGTCTCTTGCCCCTCACTGTATTTCTGCTGAATGCTCTTTAGCAATTATGATTACATGATGACTAATCGTACAATTCTGGCCTTATTTACACATTTTTCGCTTATTATCTTCAGCTTACTGCTTCAAAGTTTAGAAATATAGCTTAGTATAATGTCGAAGATTCTAGCATATATGTCTCTGAATATAGCCAGTCTTTAATCTTTTGATATTTCTATCATGTAACTGATATGTTACCTCTCAGCCTTATTTATTGCCTATAGATCGAATTTTGTGATACAAAAAGACAGAATTATGATTTACGATGCACAATACGAGTTTTGCTTACATGAAATACGCACGAAGATTTCCGTTGCTACTAAACTGTGGAAACTTCCATTAATAATTTCTAAAAACCCATTACGATGTATCAACATTATCTGTATCTTTCAAAGCATCAACATGCTCTTTTTATATGTAAACGTGAGTTACATTTTTAACTCTTTTTCTTGATAATATACTTCAGAAAATATGAATTGTGTATTTTTAAGTTTTTGGTATTTGTGCAACCTGTTTTTCGAAAACAAAATAAAATGAGATGGAAATTTCTTGACATGTTATTCATGTGACACAAGAAATGGCATAAACTGCCAATCTATTAACACGTAAAGTTGTAAAGATCAATAAATAAAACTTTTAATGTAAAAATATTTCATTGAAAATGGCAGAGTAAGTAGCTTATATCCTTAATTCGTTTCAATAAAGATTTTCAATAAATATTCCAATGATAGTTTCATACAATGCGCGCCTAATTAGATTAAAGAGTTTGTCGACGATCTTGAAAAGCAGAATAATAAATACCAAACTAAATAACAGACATGTGAAAGGAATTTTGAAGAATAAATAATCTTCACCAATTAAGAAACTTTGTTTATGATTGTGTAAAACCTCAGGATAATTTTCAAACGTAAATTTTAACATTTGAATTGTGCACTACAGGCTAGAAGGACAGGTGCGTTAAATTGTTTCATAGAAATAGGTTAGTTACCCTGAAAGTTCTTTCATTTGAAAGTGCAGCTGTTCAAATAAGTTTCTCGTACTATGGATCGATTTTTCCAACATTTGAAAATCTTCTTCGTCAAGTTATCCAGCTGTTTCTGATTATAAACAAAATTCAGAAATCGCTGGACAAAGCTTACAAAAAAAGTTATTAAGTACTTAAATGATTACTGTGAAGTTAGATTAATCAAATTAAAATAACCTACCGTATAGCTACTTAATAGTATAGTCATAATCAGATTTGAATAACCACATTGTTTAGCGATTTATCTCAAAATACTTATACAAAAGCTAAATGTTCAGAAATTAAAGACAAATGTAAATTTTCATATGATTTTTCAAACAAGTTAATTCTTCTGCGATTCTCTTATTTTGTTGAATGGTGATTATCTCATGTGAAAACCAGTTTCTTATTACATGTTTCCTCAATGAAATATAATTATGTTTTCCATCTAGCTCCTACCGTTGAGTTTAGCGTTGATCATATGGTCGTAAAAGAGGGGTCTGGAGTAGTTCAAATATCTGTTCTGAGAACAGGAGACTTGACTAAAAATTCTTCTGTGTATTGTGTGACTCATGATGATACAGCTAAAGCAAGAGAAGATTTTGAAGAAAAGTATCAAACTCGAAGATCTTCACTTATTAATTTCAGTCCTGACCAAAAGGTTTGTATATTTTACTCTCATTAATATTACTTATATATAAATTATTTCACTGCATAAAATCTTTGTTTTTTCTTGTTTCTCACTAAACTGGCAACTCAAACTTCATGAACTAAATGTTCTCAGAATGTTTATCCTGATGAATTCATTTAACTTTTTTTATCAGGTGACTCCATATTCAACTGTTTTCTTTACTGAAGCCAACTAATTTTTAACTCAGACCGAAATCAGCTAGCTATAATAAATTATTATTATTTTTCATCTAACGCCTCTTATGACCGAACTGAACTGGCATTTAAATCATAAATTACACAATAACGAGAACATATATTAAAAGTTATTGGAGGAGTTAAAGCAACAAGAGTCAGCATAAGATTCATAAATTTGCAGGATTAGTTTCGAAGACTAGTTTACATCTTAGAAACTAGTTATGCAAAATTATGAATATTACGCTAATTCTTGTTGCTTTACCTCTTTTAATGGTCATTATTCAGCGTGTAATTTTTAATTCAACCGTATTAAAAGTGTTTAGTAAATTCTACAACTTATATACAACAATAAAATTAAATTACAACTTAAAGCTCATCGGTATATTTCAAACCGAAAATAATGCTATATACAATTTTACTTATAGAAAATTATCGCTCAGTTTTAACGCTTCGGTGTGGAGTCAAAGAGTTGACTTAAAGGCTTAAATTCGAACTTACCAAACCAGATTTACAAATAATTATTAAATTCACTTATTCTCCAAACCGTGATATATTCGAGCCCCTTATGCAATTTATGTTAAGTACGTTAACATATTCTGAATCGTAAAAGTGCATATCTTTATCTTTCTATTTTTCTTTTCCTCCTTCCTCATAACAAAACAATCCCGTGGTACTTGACAAGGTTTTAGAAATTGTAAGTCTAAATTTGACATAAATAGATGTATGTGGCACATAATTTTATCATGCTTTTTGCAAATCCATTTCCTTAAGTGTAATAACACTTTTAAACTATTTAGCTGATTTTTCATATTCTACTTGTATTGAATAATTTTATAAATTATTCTGTTGATTAATGATTCTGCCAATTTAGATATCAAAAGCTAAATAAGTAACATACTGTTTCAACAATTGTCAGCACATTTTATGTGCCATATGCCGAACATTGTACAAAATTAATCAGTTAATCGCTATCACTATGTTTCAATAATTGTCAGTACTTCTTTATTTACGATGTGCTGATCATTATGAGAAGTTATTTATAACTTTATGGAATAAAATTATAACATATTTACAGTTAGTATCACCAGATATTACTAAGTTGTTTGTTTGTGTACTAATTTAGATGCACAAGATCATCGCTGTTGTTCAAGGAAATATCTTATTGTCACTTTAAGAAGTGCTTAGTAGGTAATGTGTAGATTAATTAGATAATATGATAAATGAAACAATTAATCTGCCCATTACCTGATTTTAATAGTAACATAAATTCTAAATCAGGGTTCGTACGGTCCTTAAGAGTCCTTAAAAGTCCTTAAGTTTTTTGGAATCGATTTTTGGTCCTTAAAAGTCCTTAATTTCGGCAAAATCAACAGAAAATCCTTAATTTTAATCATCGGAAATAGCTGTCTGTTTTTTACGACTGCCATTTTGAGTGTGAATTAGCATTTTGGAGGAATATTTTTGGTGATTCAACTGACAGATATGGTTATCTTTTGATTGGGTGAATGGGTTATAATTCGTTCCTATTTCTAATATAAATCGTGGGATTTTCGAGTTTTATAGTAAAAGAAGTGCAGCATACGTATTTTGAAATGATTTAATTTTTTCTAATGAAGAGCTCTTATACAACTTTTGGCTTTTCGGGATGTGAATTCTTTTATTAAACCGCTCTGAATTCGGCGACTTATCAGCATTTTGGCGATTTTAAGATCAGTTTCTGTAGAAAATTTTTAATTTCGAGATCTGGGAATTTTTCGACATTTTTTAAAACATTGTGACATGGATAATTTTCATTAAAATAGTGGTAAAATATTGAAATTATGTTTAAAAAATAACATTAAAATAAAACGTTTTAATTTTCGCTGTCATATTATAAAGTTCCATTTTGACCACTTATTATACAATATTTTGAATCTTCAAAATAAGCAAGGTATACGAAACAATTAACGAAGTTTTAGCAAAATCAAAATAGCTATGTAAGTAATTTAAAATGTCTTTTTAAATTTTTTCATGGTAAGAATTTTCTCCAATGTAGTTGTCTCAGAGTATTCAGAATTATCAAAATATTCAGTTTTCTCTATAAAATTAATTTTACACCATTTCCCTCTGATATTTTTCCTCAAATTATTTCTGGCTTTTTACTGTTAACAGAATTTTTCTTTAGGGTTTTAGACATTGCAGCTTAGAAAGTTTAGAAGGATTTGAAGGCAAAATTTATAGACCCAAGAGTCTAGAAAATTACAGAAAAAGGTCTCCATGCTATTAACAAACGAATGTATTTTGCAGAAAGTTTACGATGTATTTCTTACTTTTTGGAGAAGGTCTGGAAGAACAAAGAAAACATAATTTGAATGTTTTTATTCTGATACTAGAATCTTTTTCTTAACACGTTTATCTTCCCTTTATTTTCTCTAATTTTCACTAGACACAGACATGGAAAATATCAAAAATGCTTTTATTCTTATGAGAAGGACAGGCATTATAGAAAGAAATTTTTTTCTTAGTAAAGAAATTGAAAACTGATTCATATTATATGTCTGAATGCATCATACACAGAACTGGCGCTAGGCATTTTCCCACCTGATGCAATCTCTGCGGATCCTAAATTCTGCTTCCAATGCCTGCTCTAAATTCTAAAAGTTTTGCCATTTCTAGATTTTGTTGCTTGGTGTGTCACTAAATTCTAAAACTTCTGCCACACCGTCTCTGTAACCAGCCCTTGCCATGTATATTTCATATTGCTTCTGAATGTTCATATTACTAAAGATATAAAATTAGCAGCTTTTTCTATGCTTTCTAAATTTAGTGTTTTTAGAATAACAGAAATCTTTAATTTAAATTCTAAAATGAAAAGGAAACGTGCTGAAGAAAGTTTCTTGCTGAAGAAACATGCTGAAGGAAGATATGTTTTGCTATTAGTATGTACAGTTATTATTATGTAAATTACCTAGTTGTTTATAATTTCAGCCTTTACTATAATTTCCCATTTCTGTTTTCTCACCAGAATGCAATTCGCTTAGATAGTTTTTAAACTGAGGTGTATGGAGTGTAAGACAGAGTGTGTTTTTTTTTCTCCACATACTTGCAGCATTAGTTCCTGTCCAAAATGAGACATAAAAAAATCAACATAAAGCTAACTATTAATTTAGAAGTAAAACAACAATCTTAATAAGTCTAACTGTTAGTAAAACGTAAATAAAATGTCACTTATCTTCTTCTAATATGTCCAACTATTATAAGTGTAAAATATTTAATGCTACTTGATAAATTTCATAAAGTTTTATTTTATTCTATAACTTATTATAATTATGTTAATTAAGTTATGTTTAATAGTAATGCATCCTACTTTTTGTTTAGGACGGTATTACAAAAGTGAAGTTCAGGCACAGATAGTATTTTTAATTGAATTTGTTCAGTTCTCATTTGCTCATAGGTCCTTAATTTTTTTCATTAATGGTCCTTAAAAGTCCTTAAAAATACTTAATTTCCGTGTGCAGAAAAGCGTACGAACCCTGTAAATGAATGAGTGCAATTGAAGAAAGAGAAGAGGAGTAAACTACACATAACTTGTTAGTTTTACTTATATAATGAACAACACAAATGTATTTTTCAGTCTTCAGTTAGATTTACTAATAAAATTCATTACTAAATGTAATGCTTAATTTCATTTTGTAGGAAGCCTTCTGCTCAGTAAAGATATACGACGATGATATTCATGAGGGGAATGAGTTCTTGAAACTAAAACTAGTATCAAATAATAAAGACAAGAATACAATAATTGCAAACAAGAAATCTTTAACCCTCGAAATAACTGACCCTGAAGACGGTTGGTAAATACATATTTGTCTTTATGATGTGTAGTAGGTTTTAGAAAATATTACTAAAATCAGTCTTTTATTTTAACAGCTACTTCTGTGCAACTTGAAAAGGCTGAATATGTAGTACCTCAGCACACTTTTCCTAACAGTTCCGTCTCTGCAATCATACCTGTAATTCGGCTGGGAGACTTAAGATTGATTTCGAAAATTAGAGTTAGTACAATTGATGGATCTGCTTCTGCTGGACTTGATTATTACTCTAAGAGCAAACTTCTTACCTTTAATCCAGGTTTGAAAATTTCAGTATTTTAAGAAATTTATTGATTTAAAATCTTGATTATTCATATACCTAAGGGAGAACGCTGATAGGGAAGCGTTTTAATAAATTTTAATTAGAAACGAAACACTTCTATGCTTTTAAATGCAAAATTCAGTGAGATATGTGAGTATGAGATCGTTGACTTTCTGAGATATATGAGTCCAAAGCCGTTGTGCCTGCCCAAAGCCGATTTAAATTCATTACTTTTCAAATCAAATTTTATGGATCAGATGGTGAAAGAGCAATTGTTACCAGATAGCTCCAAAATTGGGATAAATGTATGTTGTTGGGATAAAACGCATAATACGTTTTTACACTCAAACATATATGTATGATTTCGGAAGCATAACTTCCTAGATTTGTTTTGGCAGCTAATAATTTCATTCTAGGTAAAATAGTAATTGTTTTTGAATTTATATACGAGTCCTTTATGTTTGATAAAAAGTTTTATTAAGTTCATTTCCGTAAATTTTGTTCACATGTTTAACTCGCTATTTGCACATATGTTTAACTGGATAAGTATTGAATGTTTCACTACAGTAACCACTTCCTAGGAAAATCTCTGGTTAATAAAATCAGCCATTTATTATGTTTAAATTTCCAAAAACCAAAACAAACATACAGAAAAACTGTTGTTTATTGAACTCATCTTCGTGGGTTATAAAACCCCCAAACTGGCAAAAGACTGATTTCTTTAGTTCAAGATTCTCTTATCGGTACCTATTAAAGCTTTTTGTAATTTATCCATTTAACTTATTGAGGAACCGTGGCTTATTCTTCATTAAGGTATAGTAGTGATAACATAAAATGGGTTTGCACAAAATTTTCATCAGTGCAGTTTGATCTCACTTGATCTATGCTCTCAGACACTGCAAAATTGTTTGTGTGGATTGTATCTAAGGGCAGAATTTACCTTAAGGATAAGTAGTTGGTTTTAAGAAACTGAAGAAACGAATTACGCAATATAAATGTAACAATTAAAAAGACACAACTGATTATTGGCAAAAGCATAAAATCTCCATATTTGAAAGCAATCAAGAATTTAGTAAGGTTCATGGATCTAGCCTTTTTATCAATTTTCTTTTGAAATGGGAATAGCGAACTGATATATGAAGAACTATCTATATTGTCAGAAAACTGCGACGCACATCCTTCGGATTATGTTCCAAAAAATATTAAATTTGTATTTCTTCTTGCAAATGTAACTCCTATCGAGGTACGAGGTAGACGAGGGTATTATAAAAATTTTAAATATCATCACAGAAAACAGGTAATTCAAACAATAATAAACAAAACTGAACCATGTAAAAATTAAAGCACTTCGATTCAGATAACTAAGTCGATATATTTGTCAGAGGCCGGTACCGTAACATTGGCAGTATTTGAATCCTAGTGAAGGCATGAAGGTATGTATTCTCTATCCCCTTTCTTGAAGGTATAAAATTGATTGCCCCTTGTGGTAACCCTTGAGCAACTTTCTCAGTTCTAAGAGGCTAAACAACTGGAAGTTTCGGGCGTGAACTTTTTCCAAAATAAAAATCACAGTTCGGCACTACCGATGATAAACACTAGTTCAAGCATTTTTGACTAATGCTTGAATTGGATCTGGCCATTGGTTCAAAAAGATTTTTCCTTGTTGGAAATTTTTACACCAACAGTGTCATGTAAAAAAAAAAATACATTTGTTTTTAGAATATTCCTTACTCGGACTTCTAAACTGTTATCATTCGAATCCAAGTTTTATTTTAATAAACTTGAAACTGGAATTTATTCCTAGAATTAATATTTAAAAAACAAAGTAGGAATAAAGCTTTAGTGAATAACTTGTATATATGTAATTTTTATTGATATGCACTTTTACTATCATTTGAAAGAGAAAGAAAGCTTGTAATTTAAGTAAGTTTTTTTTTATTCCTTGTATCATAGCTGCCAGTGCGCGAGTGGTTATACTGGTTTGGATTCGATCCTAGGTTAGTGGGCTGGTTGCATGGTTGGTTTTCGTGATTCTCCCCGTATGTAATGTGAATATGTGCCATTTTCTCTCAGAAAATCATCCACGAAGGCATCCGTCGGGTTAGGCCGATGTCATATTCAAATAACCTAACAACAAAATATTTATCAAAGGAATACTAAGGGGAACCAGACATTTAATAATGTTTAAAAACGAAAATTTCAAAATCTTATTCTTCTTTATTTCATGCATATGTAGCTAAACTGAAGATTTAAGCAGATGCAGAACTATAACAAAGCAGAAATTTAACGATAACAATAAAACAGCAAAAACAATAACGAAATAAAAATTTAAGCGTAGGAAGGTACATTAAATGAGCGAACGCCTGGGTTAATACTGAACAGCGTGATCATTTTATTTCCTCACTATCTGAGGTCAGAGGTCAAAGATAGAAGTTAAGTTTGAAGGACTCGAAACTTCTGAGTAGCTTTTCTTCCTAGGTACCAATACTATGATTCGCTGTTAGACGGTTTTGACTTAAATCCTTATACTATGAATTTATTGTTATCTTTACCTAATGAATATCTGTTTATGTCGAGGCTCCCTAACTCTTTTATTACGGCACACTTTAATATCGATCGTGATCTATCCGTGTTACATTATCAGATTATTAATTTTTATTTTTTCCTCAATTCTTTACATCGGGATGTCACATACTGATAAGCAACTAAACCATGTTGGTTAACAGCAAGGCAATCCTGTATGTTAATTAGTATAGGCCAATAATGGCAAACTTATGACATTAAGTGAAACGCATAAGCAAGTACTAATGAAAATCCAAAGCGGGTTCACTTACTAAGTGAAACGTGAACCGGCTTTGGATGACACGCATCACGCATTTTCAGAGCCGGAGACAAAAAACTACATAATGCAATTTTTTTTTTTTTTTTTTTTTTTTTTTTTTTTTTTTTTTTTTTGTGCAAGAGCCTCGCATTGTCAGCAAGTGCTACGCTTACCTCAGATGCGTTGGAGTACATTCTTGGCAGACAGTTGACAAGAATGCCAGAGGGATGATTGTGTTATATGTGAGGCCGAGCGGTAAAGTCGCTGGACACTGGTAGTTGGGTACGCGTTTCGAATCCCGCGAACGGGATGGCTTTCGTGGTTTATCCAACTTGTATACAAGCCAGTTTCCCTTAGGAAGTCATTCCTTACCTTAGGCAGATAGCCCTCGCGAGGCTTTGCCATAATCACATAAACCAAAACAAACCAAACTGTTATATAAGTGACGCGGCACCAGTCTTCAGCTAGGGCTTTTACGAAATTCGACATGCCGAGCTCAAAAGTTTCGTCATCACTGGTACAGGCAATTTATATAGATATTCAAGCAAGTGACATAACTTGTCTTCTGATATTCAAAGAGAAAATTTATAAAGAGAGTTAAGAAGTTTAAGAATTGAAATTTATGTCATATATGCATAATAATTAATTTGTTGCCAGATATAAAAGAGATTAAAAAATTTACTTCCTTTTTTTCAGGTGAAAGCAAGAAACGCTTCGAAATTGAAATTCTGTATAATAAGCGGCGAAACTGGGCCCTATCTTTCGTTGTCATACTTGGCCCTGATGAAGTACTAAATGCCGATATAGGCAATGTATCAAAAGCTGTCATCACGATACCTGGAGTGCAATCGACAGAAAGTTTAATTTTGCCCGCAGTTCCTATTGTACGTCTATAATAAGTATCATTTTATCATTACGATCACACAGAGTAACTACAATTAAGTAATAGAGTCACAGAGTAATCCTTATTATCATAAATTGTAATTATAGTAACACCTAATTAAAGATTACTCGTAAGTACAGATTATACTCTCAAAATTCCTTTTTATAAAAAGCTTTGCTTAATTTAATTTTGAATAATAAAATATTCAGACTATGCTCAGGCAAAGCTAATCTGAGAACACAGGAAAAGCTTCAAGAAATAAGCATCCGTCAAATAATGCATTCCATACATGTAATTTCACAGAGAATTTCAATTGCTAGAAATAGTTTAAAGACTTACTGAATGAAAGCAATTAAGTAAACTAATCATTAAAATTTATACTCGGTTAGTATCGTACAATATCTATTATTTATTTCTATCTTGAGGTCAGAACAAGATCTGCCAACAAACTTATTTCATTTTAAGTGATTAATTTATCAGTTAATTATTTGTAGTTTTTTATTTCTAATTTTTGGGTACAAATTCAAATCCTAATCTTTGAAATGGTTCAGATTAATAAATTCTACTCTTAAAAATCATGTTTCAATTTCCTTTCTTCAATCTTTTCGAAACTGAGACAATGCGTAAAAATTATGAACTTTTGGGTGGAATATCAATTGTGTACGTTTACCGTAAAGGCAGGTAGTGACAGGTGACGGAGGACGGGGACGCCTGGCGTATAACATAGGTAAACAGGCATATGTCCCACGTCCTCCACTATCTCGAAGAAGCAACTCGCTGGAGCCCCGTGAGGCTGCACCGGAAGTTTACATGGCCATACAGGTGCTAGATGTCGGATAGTTTTTTACATAGGACGTTGTTAATAACACACAAGTAAACTTAAAAAAGAATATAAAGGATAGCATTAAAACACTAAAACACTCATATAAGCTGAAACATAGATATACAAAATTAAAACGTAAAAGCATAAAAACACACTCGTAATTACGTAACATAAAAGACATAAAAACACACACGAGAATACATTCATGACACATAGAATACATATGGAAACACGTAGAGCACATAAATGCAAATATTACACACAGAAGAAACATATGAGACATAGTAACGTGTGCGTAAAGCAGTAGCGCTGTGCGGAAATATGCTCAGTTCACATAATACATAATGTACATACTTCATTAGGGGTTTCTGTTGCATGAATTACATATTTCGTTGCATACACTACATTCGTGCATTGTACGGATATTATATATTTCGATTTACGATAACACATCATTCCATTGGGTGCCCAGTGCTTTACACTGATAAACATGTCAGTAACATTATTTCTGCAAGTTGGTGGCTATTGAAAGCAGATGTTAACACGAGGCTCGAAATTGAATGTGGAATGTGTATTATAGAATGTGTACATACTACGAATATCTAATCGTTGAGTACATTGTCTGCAGTACCATGCTACTGTGGCTCGCAAATGTCTTGCCCTAGGGCGTTGATTTGCTGTACAACTGCGCAGATGCTCCTTATAGCTGGCGGGTGTTTGATTATGAAACGATAGTAAAGTACCGTAAAGGCACATGTTCCAGAAAGACCTTTGCTTTACGTACTGAAGATGGATTACTTATTTTGAATGTTTTCATAATAGAAATGTTTATAGCTTAGCCGTTCCTTTTTCATAACCCTTATGTTACAATACGCTATCATAATTTTTACCATGAACTCAGCCTGACATATGTTACCCTTGTACGAAGTATAAAAATTTTCACCTATTATCCACATTATTTGACAATTTGCCATGTCTCAGAAGTGTTATTGTTCGATGATGTATAAAATCTTTAATTGAACTTTATTAAAACAGTACATCGCTTAATTTACTAAACGTTTTAAAAGTCTACATCATTCTTAATAATTTATACCTTTGTTTTAATTTATAATACTACTTTTAATTAACGTAAGTTTATAAAAAGTCTGATTTACGAGATTTATAATATATAACTGATAATTTTTATAAACATTTGCACTATTATTTGAATTAATATAACATGTTTCTAAAGGCATATATTATAAAACATATAGAATGATCATTCGTTCGTGTACTAAAGAATGAAAAGCTAGAGACAGATTATTATAAAACAATAACAGAAACCAGTTCAGTCGAGCTGAAGTTTTACACTTAAATCGCAAATATCACACACATGTGGTAAGTTTTTTTTTTTTTTTTTTTTTTCTGTGCTTATAGTGAAGAAGGCTATGAAAACTACGAATAAATTGATCTTACAAACTTATCAGTTTAGCTTTGCTACAAGTTTAGAATTATTCAAGTTCCTGCTATATAAAATCCAATTTTTGTAAGGTTGCAAATAATATAATAGAAAGTAAAAGATTATAATTTAAAATTTATTAAAACATAGATACTTAAATCAGATAATTAGCAAGAATATTAGTTAAGAAATAAATTAGCTTTAGTATAATGCTTTTAAAATTTATGTTTTATGCAGTTCTAGTAAAAAAGATGGTAATTTAGTAAATTCGTATCAAACTTCTAGCATTATTTTTTTTTTATTTCTGTAAAACGTTTTTGAGTTAAATACATAATCTTCAAGGATTCAGAATTCCATATTAACAATCTTTCAAAGAAAATGCGTCCTGTGATAAAATTTCAATAAATCAACTCTTATAATATAACATTCTTACGATAAATAAATATAAATGTATTCATGATAATAAAGTGCCTTTTATCTTGCCTATTTGATCCACCTTTTATAAAATATGTTTGTATTTAAATTATAATCATAAAAAACTTAGAATATAAATTAAAAGATAAATATTTTAACTATAAAAGATATTTTAATTTTTGCACTTTGATTACGTGATGATCTCTTAGGTGGTGTCTTTATTACATAATAGCAATATCACCATTGGTCTGTTGCAAGAGCCTAAACCAGGATATCCATTAATTTGCATCACGGTAAGTATATTTCCTTGTTTAATTATTTTGATCATAATTATTATTATAACGGTTGTAAAGACATTAGGTTAACTGGAAAAGCCAGAGAGATGAAAAATGAGCAATCGCCTTCGCCGGGAATCGAACCACGGACCTCTGGAATACCGACCCAGTGTGCAGAACCACTACACCACGAAGGCACGTTAGGAAGGCGGGAGAAATACCTTATATACTTCCCCTTTTAAAGGGCGACTGGGGTTTTTAGTAGACCCAGTCGCCAAATCCTCAGTGAGGAGAATCATCATCCAACGCCCTTTTAGTTCAGGCGCCACTGTAGAGACATTAGGTTAATTGGAAAAGCAGGAGAAATGAAAAATGAGCAATGGCCTTCGCATAGAATTGAACCATGGACCTCTGGAATACTGACCCAATGTGCAGAACCACTACACCGCGAAGGCACGCTAGGAAGGCGGGAGAAATACCTTATACGGTCATCAATAACAGTTCCTGACAAAACATTTTAATAACATTATCATCTTAATTTCACGCAGAAAATTTAAAACTTCTAATTTTATATACTGTGCGTTGCTTTAAATAAATGTGTCATACATTAATACGTTATTTATACATTTAATGCGTTATATTAATAAGTTATACCTCAAGTTATACCTCTGTTTAACAGTTTAACACTTTATGAGAAAGAGTTTATTATTAACTTTACTTAATTATTCTTTTGTTTAATTATTCAAATACTAGATTCCCGCTTACTGTAAGTAATTGGCAAGTCATCAATATCCAAGTTGGTAAAACTTCTGAATACCGGTACTGGATTCGACTTGAGTCTCCGCAAGTGAACTTGTTGCATTAACACTTTTGTGTATTTCATTACATATAACTTAAATACTTTTAAATTTATTATAAAAACTTCCAGGAAGGCTTTCTTTCCTTGCAGTTAGCCTTCGTATGTTTTTCCTTAATTAAATTCACCAACCAACCAAAGTTATTCTCCGCAGCCTTTTCGAATAACATTCTATTTCAGATCATTCATAGTGAAGTTTCTTTTATTATAAAAATGGGGAAAGGCTCATTCTTGGGCGTTTAATATTTGGCAAAAATATTATTTTTATACAAGATATTCAGCGAAATTAAACTCGAGATGCAGAGACTGCGAGGTATGTGTTCAGTACTGATGCCAATAATAAAAACTCAGCTTTCACAGTTACAGTGAGCAAATTTCAAAATGTTTGGACGGGAACATTCATTTTTGTGCTTTTGCAAAAACATAGGCACGGTAAAAGAACATAAAAGACATTAGTGCAGCTCGAAAAACGCCAAGTTCAACTGCATTGCCAGAGAAGAGGAGAGAGAGAAAAAACAAGAAAGGAAAGGCAGTATGCAATCGTGCAAAAGCACGTATTACCTGTAATGAATACAGGTGTGGTATTTTCGAATATTACTCATAGTAGTGAAGATTTTGTGTGTATTAGTTAACCAGAAATCGCCAGTATCACTTCCTTCATCTTTCATTACGCGGACCTCATTTGAAAGTCATTAAATGGTGCAGAATAACAAGCACCATGGTTCTCAATTTCTACTTTTTTGAAGTCATTGTTCAAAATGATTACGCGTTAAATAGACAGTCTGACAATTCCAACTTCCTTTGCTAGAGCTGTTTGGTTTATTGCTTTCCGTCTTAGGCAGACAGTGTTTGCGGAGATGTAGTATTCTTGCAGACATTTGCTGCGCAGTAATGTTGATAAATCATGTCATTATTTGAACGATAAATTACAGTATAAAAATATTATGCAACGTCGTATATTTTAAACCTCGCAGATTAGACGTTACGCAGATGTCCAGTTTTAAACTGGACATGTGTGTAACGTCTAACGTAATATACTAGTATGCGTCAAATATGTGTACTTTGATAATAAAATTATGCCCCATCCTTTTGTATTTTCTTAACCATTATGGTCCCTCGTTCTCAAAACAACGGTTCCTGGCTATGGGATGCATCCAAAAAATATGTCTGGCTTGAAAAAATTTGTGATGTTTACATATGTCTTGTATAATGCTAGATTTATCACTGATATCCGTCATTTTTCATTGCAATATATTATTACCTCTAAAGCCGCCACGATGTACGTTAGTGTGCAAAACTTAAGCAACAAATTCATTTTCAACATCCAACCATAAAATCGTTAAAAAGAGCTTTTTGTCATCAGTACAGTGAAATGCCAACTCATCAAAAAGGTGATGCATATGCAGATATCAGCATCATGATGTCAGAGGGATAAAAAACGCGAGGAGTCAGCGCGTTCAGTGCAAGGCAACTTAAAAAGAAGAAAGGAAGCATTTCCAGGCATTCTTCTGTAGGTGAAAATGTGATTATATGTACAGTATGGCTATAGGGGAACATCAAGAAGCCTTTAGATGGCGTAGAATGATTAGCAAGCTTGAGGAGAGGCCTAGTTTAACGTTTGTCACTCAGGAATCTGGAATTAATAAAGTGACGCTTCACGAGCTTGGAAACCTTTCCAAACAAGTACAGCTGTAAGAAAAGTTGGTGGTGGTCGGTCAAGAAACCAATGATGTCTGATGACCGATATATCTCCTTGCAGGCGAACAGAGATCGAAATCAGACAATGGGCAACACTGCTCAAGATCTTCTACAAGATTTCTCTCATTAATTTATTGAAAGACCAGCCGCACAACCAGGATAGTGGTTAGCGACGCTGAAATGCCGTCCCAAAGGTCTGGAGAAGGCATGGTTGTTTGTAATAATGCCTGTGCGGCATGGGGGCACTCTAAATATGCAGTCTGCCGAAAGTCCTCTCGAGAGGTTATGGTAGATCCAGGACCTGTCTTCTCGGGGTGCTCTTCTTCAAAAAACTAGAGACGAAACTGAGCAAAATCGTACTGTCACCTTTATGTTGCCCAAAGCTCTTTCCAATGACAAGCGCAATCTTGCCTCTTTGCCACGATGAATTTCGTGGGCATCCTCTGATATGAAGCGAGATTAGACACAACAACAGCATCATTAAAAGACCTTTGATATTTCCGCGTATGGTATAACTTATTTACTTTTATAGAACTATTCGAGTGTAAATTAGATTCACATTATCTATTAACGAAACATAAAACTTAAAAATATATTTCTGAAAGTCAGATTCAAGACAAGGATTTCACAGTTTAATAGTTTTTGCATATAATATGCTAGGACTATTTGTTTTCATTATTGTATTTTTTCTCTAAGGTGGCAAAGAAAAAGAATTTTATTAAAAGATTTAAAATGATTAGTTTGGAGAATTAATTATTAAGTGATGTGGAATGTTTAATTTTCTTTTATCCTATATTTGTTGGCCCTAGATTATACCTGCTGAACGATTTTAAAAAGTTCGCTATGCACTTAATCTGTTTTAGCGAAGTCTAGACTGCTGTTCTGGTTTTATTTCTGTTTTATTAATGCATGTAAGATTTAATGTTTCGTTTAAGTTACTTTTGTAAAACCCATGTTGTATAATTATGGTGCACGGAGAGTAGTGTATGTGTTCAAATAATATTTTTAAAAAAATTATTAAGAACTATCTGTCTTTATTTAACCAAGGTTTCGATTAATTTTTAATAATTATTTTACATATCTTATGCTTTTAATATAGTATAAAACATCACACAATATCTTAGGAAATACATGTGTGTGAAAACTGTAAGTAAATGTATATTCCTGCTTTTGACGTAACATCAACGATATACAGGTGCTTGTAGTAATTAATGAACTTATGTTCAGTAATCATTACTTTTACTTTTAGCCCTGCGATTCAAATTATCCGTCTTATGCTGAAACCGCTTCTCTCTGCAAGGAATCGGGAATTAATTCCTCTTCTATGAGTTATTCATGGGAGGTAGCTATGCCATTAGATGGTGAAGAAAATATCTCACCCTTTGAAAGTGTTACACATTCTACACTGTTTACATCTGTACATGACAAAGTGAGTCGATTTTACTTTAATTTTGGAAAAAAGAAAATAATCAGTGCTTTGTTATTTTGACATCAACTAATAAAACTGTAATATTAACTCGTCTTTAAACTGTTTCTCTCAAATTGAGTAAACTACATTTTTAAAGGTGATAATGCTGGTGCTCTTCTTCCGTGCATTTTGTTTACCACTGCTTTCTATAGGCACGTATGTTTAAAATCATTACTAACTATTAAAAGTCTTTGCCTTCAATTTAAAGTATTGTTTTCAAAATTTGTTTGCACTTCCTTTTTGAAAATTATATCAATTTCTATGGCTTTTGAAAGTAATAGACAAATCGTAATAAGTTATAGGATAAAATTTTTGAAAACAAATCTTTCTCACACCTCTTTTTTGGAGGAAAGAGTTAATGGAAACATTTATCAATGAGAATTAACTCTTTACGTATTATAAAGGAGTTACGTCTTTATATACTTATGGGAACGTTCCCCATGCAAGAATTAATGATCTTAGAAATGTTACTCCTTTTATAAAAAATTTATCCTTTAGTGAATTTCAGTGTCTTTGTTTTGACCCTTTTTAACACAAAAATTATAATGTAGTCTAAGAAATATGTTTTTAAACTTAAAAATTTAATGACTGATAAAGATGCGTATTGGAAATGCCTTCACTAGTAAAGGGGCATTCATTTGTGAATTACACATGCGTACTGAAATCAGGCTTCGTTGCTAGTTGTTGCAAAAACCAAAGGGTACACTCGACACGCGGCGCATAATCTGCAGGTATCAAGGCTTGCACTTTCTGTACATGGTAGAGGTGTAATACTCCGTCTTGTAATACTCGCCAAACAGTTGAGTGGGGCACATTTAGAGTACGAGAAATATCTCTCGTACTAATATCCGATGATCTTCCACACTTTGCAGAATGCCAGAATGACCTCTATAGGCGTCCGCATACTCCTGCCACGCCCTGTATTACGCGCATGCAGCTGACAAAGGATCCTTTTTACTTCCTTGTACGAAGTAAAAAGGAAGTATTGTAATTGCGAAAAGTTTCAGGCAGCATATTTCAACGAAAATATTCATTTTGACCGCTATCGAATGAAATTTAACGATGTTTTGCGTGATATCTGTACGTAAGGACAGAATAAAAGACTCTTTCTTCCAAAAAAATTATAAAACTGCTTTAAAATTAATTCTGAAGAGAATTTTTCGTGTCGTCTGTACGAACGTACGTACGTACGTATCTCGCATAACTCAAAAAACGAATAGCCTCAGAACGTTGAAATTTTGTATATAGAATTGCTAATACATGTAGATGTGCACCTCGTATTTTGGTTGCAATCGGCCGCACCAAACGTATATAAATATATTTATATATAGATATAGATATATATCTGTTACCCGGCTTAGTGATCTCAGTTTCTTTACTCTCATATGTTTGTAAATTGTACATTTTTTGCTTTAAAAATGATTGAATTATGTTGTTCTTATCTTCCGGTTAAGGTTTTTATGCCTTTAGTAAATCTGTATGCAATATTTTTAGAATTATCAACAATTTTAAAGTTCTTTAAGTGCCGCTAAGCCTAATAATGTTTTTAATGGCGGTCATTGCTTGTTTACATTTGAAACAGCAGAATATTTAGTGGATTTGTTGCCAATCTAGAAAAACTTAGCTTCGCAACAACAAAGATAACGCCTTCATTTATTATTGCAAATTCAATCATGCTTAATCCTTTCTGGAATTTTTTTGAGGAAATAAGTGTTTAAGAATTACTTCGTAATTTTTAATACAGATATTTTGACTTTTTATGTATTTTTGCCTTGCAGAAAAGTGAGAACTGAATTAATTGAATGAGAAGTACTCAATCGTCTGTGGAAAACTGTTTCTTTTTTGTTTTGTTTGCTTAATTTCTTTTATACATCGTTCTAGCTTTATTATAGTATTTGAATAGAACATGTGGCAACGATTAGATAATTCTTTAAATAATATAAATTTTGTGCATTCTGAGTTATAATATGAACGAAATATAAATTTGTTAAGTGAACCTAGCTCCATAGTGTCGCTATGGTAAACAAATAGTGTGAATTTTAAAGAATGCATTTATTCTATTGTGGTTTATGCGCTGTCGGCGAAATAGATTTAATTCAATCCAATAAGTTTAAATGAAATGCAAGAAAAAATGCGTATAATTTAATATTCCATACAAGGAAGTCATGTGGTGTACACATCAGATTTTTTACACAGGCACCAATGCAATCGCTCGAACATATTTTGGTCTGGCACGTGTATTCTCCGGAAACGCTGCCTGTATGCCCTGCCTGTTTCGGTATCCAGAGCATTCCCATTCGCAAGACCAAACATAAAATGCATGTCCGCCTTTTCCTGATTACTGTACGTCGACATGCTTTCTGAAATGCATGGCGAAAACTCGCGCTTTATGCTTTCCATTACAGCGCCATCTAGTGGTTCACAGCTTGCTGTCCGCCCATGCATTGTATGGTGAAAATTACTTGTTTAGATAATTTCTATCACCACATAATTTTTTTGCCCATCAGTTTCGAAATACCTTGTATATTATAATTGGACCCTGAACATAATCGTTGATATTGGCCCAATCCCCAGTAACTAAAAACCCACTTATAACATTTGACAGCTCAAATAAATCCAAATGTTCACTGAAAGTACTTTAAAACAATACTATTTGGAACATAAAAAACTACTCACTAGTCACCTTTTAAATCAGGGATGGGCAAACTACTGCCCGCAGGCCAGCTTCGGCCCGCCGGAAGGTTCTATCGGCCCGCGGATAGAATTTTAATTTTCCGGTCCAAGGCAGATTAAAAGAAGTATATATTTATATATTATATATCCATCTCCTTTTCCACTTTGTTTAAATATTATTTTTCGTCCCAATATGAAAGTAAACAAAACGCAGAAAGTCTTTGTAAAACATTATCAGGCCGACAAATGTTTTTCAAGAAGGTAAACAGTATCCAAGAAACAGCTACACATGCAAGTTGCATTGTAGCATACAATATTGCTAAAACTAATAAATCTCTCAGTGATAGGGAGTTCGTTAAACAATGCACGCTCCAAGTTTGTGATGCTTTATATCCAGGTAAGAAAAATAATTTTGAGACTGTAAGCTTATTTCGTAAAACGGTGGCTTCTAGAATCGAAGACATCGGTAAAAATTTGACATCACAATTAGATCAAAGATTTGCCAATTTAAATTTTGCTCCATAGCTATGGATGAAAGCACCGATATAAATGATACTGCTCAATTAGTATATTATTTATAAGAGATGTTGATGAGAACTTTGAAATTACCGAGGAACTGGCGTGCATGAGTTCTTTAAAGGGAACTGCAACGGGTTGTGATATTTGTCGTGAATTTTAGGAAAGGCTTTTAACTTTGAAAGTACCTATAACAAATATATGTAATATTACGACCGATGGACCTCCAAATATGACAGGAAAAAAAATCTGGATTTCTTGGACTCCTTAATCAAAACTATCCCGGGGACAATGTTGTTTTTCTATATCAAGATGCTGCATTGAATATGAAACCCATGCTTTACGCAGTCGTGAAGCTTGTAAATACTATTCGATCTCGTGGGCTTACTTATAGACAATTTCGAGATTTTCTTCAGTCCGTGCAATCTGAACATTCTGAAATACTGTATTACACGAAAGTAAGGTGGCTTAGTGCAGGATGTGTTTAAGAGAGAGTTTGGCTGCTGAAAGACGGCATTGTGCCGTCCTTCCATGAGAAACGGTGTTCTGCGGAGTGCGAAATGTCAGAAGACACAGAATATAATGATTGGGTTTCGGACTTTGCATTTTTCACAGATCTTCTTTGTCTTATGAGCAACTTGAATATCAAGATGCAAGTGAAAAATCAATTTATCGACAATATCTGCGCCCATCTCTAAGCTTTCAAGCTAAAACTTAATCTGTTTGCTGGGCAGCTAGCTAAGAATGACTTGTCTCATTTCTCGATGTTAAATTCAATACCCTTAGTAAATGAAGAGAAGCCTAAGAATTATGATGATGGCTTGGAAAAAACTGCATTTTGACTTCGAAAGCAAATTTCAAGATTTCAGTGCTATTCAAACAGAATTGGATATTTTACCATGCCTTTCAACAAAAATTGTGAATGAGGTCAGATTTGTAGCTTGAATAAATTGAGTTGCAATCTAACAATCATTTCAAGCAGTTGTTTCTAAATATGCCAAAGTTATAGTTTTACAAATCATTATCTAAAGTAAGTTTCCCAAATTTAATATCTCACGCCCAGAAAATCAGTGTAACGTTTGCTTCATCTTATATATGTGAACAAGTTTTTCAACTATGAACCTTAGAAAGAATTATTTCAGAAGTAGACTGACAGATGAGCATTTAGCCTCGTTCCATCGAATCAGTACATCTCCCTTTGAACATCAGTATAAGGAACATTTAAAAATGAAATCGCAATTTCATTCATCTCATTAACATATTTAAACTTTAATACTTGTATATTGCTTGTATATTGTTTTTTAAATTTTAGAAAAATTTATTTTGGCCCTCCAAACTTTTTTTCGATTTTTGGCTCGTGACCGAAAACGTTTGCCCATCTCTGTTTTAAATATTATCCATCAGAATACCAACACTTGCTCGAGTGCTTTTTTGACACTTCCAGAAACAATTGGTAGAAAACTTCTTTTATTCTCCCATAGAATGTTCGTCGTGTCGCTTTGGGGAATTGCTTGAATTATGTAGATATGTTGATCCCGTAGTACCATCTTGATGAATCTAAATAAAGACTAAGAGTTAAAAGTCTAACAAATAAGGTATTTGTGGCTTGACAATGATCATTTTCTGTTCAAAGAAGTTCAAGCTTCTTTGCTCAGTCTCCTGTGATATTGCGCCGAATGGTCAAAAGATGTTTCAATTCCGTTTGCACTACTACATGAACTGTGATATTCCCAAATAATGCAAATTTTTACATTAATTCTATGGAAAGGATACTAATGCCCTCTAACAGCCAAATTCAATTACTTAAAGTTTCATGCTAGTGACATGACTTTTCCGCTATTTTTTTAATACGGAATATTTTACAATCCATTTTTTATAATCCGAAGTTCTAAAACTGTTGTATTTTTCATTAGGTTATTATACTGAATACTAGTTTCGGTATTTCTTTTATATAGGTACTTGACAGCATCTATTTTCGACCTCATGAAAGAGTACGTTGTATTGTACAGCCCAAAGATTCAAAAGGCCAACTGGGTATTCCTCTGCAGAGCAAGGCTGTTAAAATAAATTCAGAAAGAGGTAATTTAGCTTTCTATCATTTATTGCTTTTAATATAAATTTTGCTATTAGTATCATACATTATTTTATTTTTCCTTTATTAAGAGTTTCATCTCTTTTAAAGATTTTGCCAATTTATTCTTTACCAAGATTAACAAACACTCTGTTTAAAACAACATGTTCAAATTATTATATGTTTATTGAATTTCTACAGTTTACTTACAATATGATTTCACAAAACTAATATTTAAATAAAGTAATAACATAAATATTAAGATTATACTTTATTTTAGTTACAAAAGTTATTATTTTGTATTCTAATAAAAGCATTTCCTTATTTTTGTTCTCGTGACAGAGAATATTTTAGGACAGAAGGCCCATGATCTCTTTAAGTGCTAAAATATTAGAGAAATTTTATATATAAAGGAAGTTCGAAAAAAGATGACAATAGACTTTATTTCCTTAAATATTAACCCAATACACTTCCAATCATATAATTTCTCAACAGAGAAGGAAAAATTTTATTAAAGTAGTAGGATAACAGTAAAATTTTAAACCGCGCTAATAGTAGGATTTTGAACAAAAGGTTACGAAGATAGTTATAAATAAATGTAAAATAAAGTTATTAAAATATTCTTAATTTATATAAAATAAACAATTTTCTAATCATGTTTTAAGTTTTAATTGAATTTAATTATCATATTAATCACTTATATGACAGAATGATGGCAGCATGGATGACAGTTAGATGCAGGTTCATTTTATCAATTCACTGTAGGTCTCTTTTGCTTTGAGGAAGTCCCCAGTGGTACATTTCGAAATGTTTCTATCATAGACGAACGTTATGCAGTATTTTTAAGAGACAACATCATTGACTCTTTAAAAGTTCTCCGTTCATGAATGACGGACTCAACATAGGTTCTGCCCAGTAACTGTTGCCATAAATACTTGACGATGACCATGTCTTTAGTCAGCTTTTCCTGCATGAATGGTCGTCAAGATCTTCAGACTTGTGACTTTTGATTGCGGGACAACTAGAAATCATAAAAGTACAGAGATGGATGTTTTTTGCCATACTGAAAGAAGTTATTAACCGTCATGTGTTAGGAATTACAAATGAACTCTCTTATCGATGATGATGTGCAGAGTGCTGTGCTACGCCTGACGACCATTTTCATAAATGATGGCCGTCTTATTGAGTATTTTGAATATTTTTAATCTTATTTTATATTTAATCGTTGAAAATGGTGCTGTGCCACTCATGACACAGCTTCAATTAGTGTATTGTCGCTATAAAAGGCTACTCTGGCAATAAAATCTTTCATTGTCGATACTCATTCCATGTCTTTCTGTGAATATATGTAAACGTCGCATCGTGCTACTGTCTATACTTTTAGAATTATCGAATTTTTACTTTTTGTCGAATTTTTACTGACTGTCATTCTGCTACTTTTTGGTCATCCAGCGTATATTGTACTGTCATGAATTTTGAACGGATTTCAAAACTGTGCTTGTCAAAAAGCAAAATATCTGAAATTTTATCAATAGAAGAAACTTAAATCTAGAAATAGTTGTAATATATATTTGATTAAATGTATTCGATTCTTCTAAACTTACATTAGGGATCAAAATTTCGAATAACTTTGAAATGTCGCCTGTTTTGAGATATTTCTCCAAACGACACTAACTACTGACTAAAATTTACTAGACTACAAAACAGGAGATGAATGAATGTTATAAAGCTAGTGTATGCTTGAAGAAAAAAGCCGACTACATATATATTTCTCCATGTTTAAAATTATGATAAAAGCATTAAAGTTGTATTAAAGAAAAATACTTAGAAGGTACTTATATAATGCTCTAAACATCATGTATTTTTTGCCTTAGGATTCTGCCACTCTACTTTGAGACCACAGTATTTGCAACTAACTTTGCAATCCCAGTCTTTCATCGCTAATCTTCAATATATCAACTCATCTGACTCCCATCATCCAAATAAGCTGCATATTCATGTAGAAATTCCTCATGAAGTAAATTTTTAAATTATGCTCAATAAATTATTTATTGTGTTTTTTAATATAGAAGGTACTGTAATTTTTATGCTATATTTTAAGTGTAATAATTATATATTATATTAATTATACAATTTAAAAATTATTTCTCTTCAGATCTTCCTGCAAATCGAAATTAATGCAGATTTTTATGAAAGCTATTTACGAAAATTGAATCCTGTTAAGAGTAGATTTAATTGATCACCTAAAACATTTACAATGACTATAACTTGAGTTGTTTTAAGTAAGACTTGAATCACAGAATCTAAACATAAATAAAAGTTGCTGCTATATTTTATAAATATCTAACTTCATAATATATACCATAAGTTTAGGTTTCCAAATTCTGTTTCTAAATAATATGCATGATGAATTGAATTTAAGAAATTAAGAATGTATCTTGAGTTTCATTTGTTCTAAGGGGAATGTAGTGGGAAAATTTACTTTGTTCTAGTTTGAATAGTATGGAAAATGAATTATATTTATTATGCAATTAATTGTAGAATGACTGTAAAATACATGTAGAAAATCAAACAAAAGAAATACGATGTTCGTGTAATGAAATTTCATTAATGTAAAAAACAGTTAGCTTTTCTCAGTTAGCTAGGCCAGCTGCTAAACTCTGAGAAAAGTAGTGTTGATAACGCAGCTATAAATAACTGAGAATTTTTTATAATTCAGTCATAATTAGAAGGTGAAATTATTTATAATTCAGTTATAATTAGAAAGTTAAATTGTATATAATTCAGATATAAATAAATTTCTTTGCTTATACTTTATCTTTAAAATTATCATAGGAATATTTTTATTTTAGAATAAGTAAATCAATAATAGCACAGGTAGCTTATCTTCATTATCAGATGAGAAGTCTCGGGTATTTTCTTTTCTATAAAAAAAGAGAGCGGAGAAAGAAGATATTTACTATTGTTGGGAAACCTGATGACTTTAGAAACTTGTAGAGTTTATATTTATTTTAACTAACATTTATTTTAAGTTTAAACTATCTTTCCTGTCAAGCCTTACTTTCTCCTGCAATTGCCAATGCCAGAGTATGTAAATTTTAGTAGAACGCGCAAAGTATTCAAAATAGTCAGCGGAAGTATTCTGAGTTAAATAGAAGGAAAACGAGTTCGAAAGTGTGCTTTCTTGCTTCACGAGCGTGGAGGTGGCTAGGTAGAAATTGAAGAACCACGCGTTTCGGCCTGTGTGCTTGCCTCGGCAGATAGTTAAATCTTTCAACGTAATATTCAGAAGTTTGCTGAATTATCAGCGGTATCTTAGAACGCGGTTAGGTTAGTTACGTTTAGAGAGCCTCGTAGGTAGTCACTTGTTATTATTCATTTTTAGTTTCTTATTTTTATTTTACCGCCGGGTCGGCGTAGTTTGTGAGCGTCAAGAGCACGCATCTGTAATTTCTAAAGTTGAATAAAAAGGGATTTAAACCCTTCTCAAGACTTTGTGTACTTTCCAGTTCATAGCAGTCACCACTATTGTTGCGTGCAGGTTGGGGCCGCGCAACATTACATTGGCGCCCGAACACTTGTCGAACTGAAATGGCCGAAAACTGGATGGAAGCTGCTGGACAAGTCCAACAACAAGAAATGGCAAGCCAATTGGAAGGATTTGGATACCTGGTCCAGACGATGAGAGCGTCAATCAAGCCAAACGTCAATTTCGACGGAAAAAATTCGGTGGCGATATTTCTAGAAGGCCTCGAAAATCACTTCCAGCTCTACCCTGTGCCTGAAAGACAAAAAGTTGCCATCGCCACATCTGCACTAAGAGGACAGGCCTCGCTATGGTGGAAGAATATAGGCAAATTTTTATTAGGGGAATTCGGAGGCCAGACATATACATTTGAAAATTTCAAAAAATCGTTATTAAAGGCCTTCCCCATAGTGAAAGACCGAGCAAGGCTAGAAGCCGAACTATATAGTTTTTATCAACGGAATATAGAAGAGTTGACGGACTTTATTCTGCGAAAAATTAAGCTGACGGATATGCTGTATGGGAAAAAAACCCGACGCGGAGATTATTGAAATAATCTTACCAAGATTGCTACCTGCTGTTCAAGATTACTTCGAAATTAGAAACCCAAGCACATTGCAGGAACTCTTCGAATTGGCGGTCAAGTTCCAAAATCGCAGAATAGCGGAAAAAAGCTAGAGGGGCATCGTATTCTCAAAGTATCCGAAGGCAATCTTCAAATGAGCAGACCAGAAATGCAAATCCGCTCTTATGCGGGAAAGAGCTATCAAGCTAACTCATCGAAGCTCGAAGGTCAAGGCCCAAAAAGGAAATTTGAAAAACAACCGTCCGCGTACCCAGAAGGCAGAAGTTGAAAGGAAAGCTTTAAACGAGTAGAGGGGCCTGTAAAAGCGAGGGTCCAGACCCCGGAAGTTTTGAAAAAACCCTCAAGAAGATACTTAAATACGGTCATCGTAAAAAAACTCACAATTACCGATTATACAAGTCCTGGTTGGCGATGTACCAGTAGAAGCCCTCATCGATACAGGAGCAGAAGGTAATTTTATGAGTGATATTTTTTTAAGAAGAATTTTAATAGGTTACGATTATTTAAAAATAAAAACACAGAAATCATAGCAGCGCGCAAGGACAAACTTGTCAATGTATTGGAAAAAAATATCTTTAAAAAATACAGGTTCAAAACGAAAGCCTTAAAGTATTAATTTTTGTAGTAAAAAACTTGCAAAGTCCACTTATTTTAGTATGGAGATTTTAAAAGCCGCGAAGGCCAAACTGAATTTTCGGGAAAGTTCTATTGTGCTGGAGATGGATCGGATCGGAGGGTGGTGGAACCAGTGGAACAACCGCAAGTCGACCTTAGCCATTTGAATGACCATGAAAGCCAAGCCATCCAGCAAGTGGTGAGTACTTTTTCAAACTTGTTTTCAGAACGGCCTGGTAGTTGTCAAATAGTTACGCATGATATACAGTTAACTGCCGACAAACCCTGTAGGACTAAACCTTACCGCTATGATAAACAGAAAGAACAAATCATCGAAGAACATATTCAGGAAATGTTAAAGAACCAAATAATAACGCCCATAAATAGTGAGTACGCGAGTCCAGTCGTACTATGTAGGAAAAAGAACGAGTTTCCTCCTTCGGATAAAAGGGCTTGGAGGTTTGCTATCGATTACAGAAAACTTAATAGTGTTACTAAATTCCCAGTTTACCCTTTGCCGGTTATAGAGGAAATTATTAGAAAGATTAAATCTACAAGATACATGACTACGTTGGACTTAACGTCTGGCTACTATCAAATAGCTATGAGACCCGAAGACATACATAAAACCGCGTTTATAACAAAATCGGGCACTTATGCATTTTTACGCATGCCCTTTGGGTTGTGTGGGGCCCCGTCAACATTCCAGAGAGCTATGGACATTGTTCTAAAGCCTGTCCTAGGAAAATCGACTTTAATCTATCTAGATGATATAATTATAACGAGTAGTACGTTGGAACAACATATTAAAGACTCTAGAAGAAGTTTTTAAATTATTAAAAGAGGCCGGTCTTACAATTAACGCCTCAAAATGCAAGTTCGCAACTAAAGAACTTAAATATCTGGGTTATAAAATTTCGCAAAAGGGTATAGAAACTCAAGATTCAAAAATAAAAGCCATCAAGAATTTCCCACCTCCCAACACCGCCAAGAAACTTTCTTCTTTCCTTGGGTTATGTTCTTATTATCGGTCATTCATAAAAGATTTTGCTAATATTGTTGAACCCTTGTTAGTAATTAAAAGAAAGAAAAGTAAATTCACGTGGACAGCAGAAGCAAATACCGCATTTGAAAGGTTAAAAGAAGCGCTCATCAATGCCCCTGTTTTGAAATTCCCGGAGGGGGACGAAAACCTGGAAATTGCAGCAGATGCGTCGGACTATGCTGTAGGTGCTGTTCTCATGCAAAATGGCCATCCTTTGGCATTTTTTAGTAAAACGTTGAACCCTACACAAAGGAATTATACAGCTACAGAGAGAGAAACATTAGCCGTATTAATGGCTGTACACAAATTTCGAGTTTATTTCGGCAAAGCGCCAGTAACAGTCTTTTCGGATCATGCGGCTGTTGGTAGACTTTACTCGGGGAAAAACCTAACGCCCAGGTTAATAAGATGGGCTTTAAAACTTCAAGAATATAATCTCATAATTAAATATAAACCGGGTAAGGAAAACAATGTAGCTGACGCACTTTCTCGTATAAAAACTGGACGATGAAGGAAATGAACTCAAATGCGCTGTGTTGACTTCAAAAATTTTAGATTCTAGAGAAACAATTATTGCTGAATTGAAAGCTGATCCTGAATTTGGAAGTATCTATGCATATTTGAAAGACCCCGAAAGCTTTGAGCACACAGATATCGATGCGATAAGAAATAGAGCAGAAAAAGAAAACTATGAAATAATAGATAATTTATTATTTTATACGAAAAACAAACGAAAAAATCTCGAGTACAAACCAGTCATCCCAGCCTCGCTTCGATTAAGCATTTTGAAGGAATTACACGACGCGAAAACAGCGGGTCATTTAGGGGTCAGAAAGACTTTAAAAAGGGTACGCGAGGCGGTATATTTCCCGCAATTATACAAAATAGTAACTGCGTATGTCAGGTCCTGCAATCAATGTCAGTTAATAAATGATATTAATTACAGCCCGGCCGGGTACTTAAATAGCATTCGCGCTACATTTCCGAATGAAATTTTAGGCATAGATCTTCTTGGTCCTTTCCCCCAGAGTGAGTTAAATAAAAATCGTTTTCTTTTAGTAATTGTAGATCATTTTTCAAAATGGACAGAAATTGTTCCACTTAAACGCGCGTCAGCCAAAACAGTCGCAGATGCATTCTTACACAGATACATTTTAAAATACGGTGCACCGATAAAAGTCATTAGCGATAACGGTAAACAATTCGTTAGCCAAATATTTGAAAACATTTGCACTGGACTTGGCA